ACTGCCAGCGGTGACTTCGGCCCTGGACCAGGAATGACGGGGGAGCAGACTAGGGAGGGGGAGGGGTCTACGGAAGGAGCCTCAATCTCCTGGTCTCTCAGGCTGAGTAGCCCCTCCCAAGAGAGATCCCCCTCGGCAGTCCAACCAAAATTGGTTCCCCAAAATCGGCTAGGAAATTCTCTAAGTTTCCCCCTACGTTGGAGACCAACCGGTTCCATCAGCACGTAAAGGTTCTGACAAGTCCTGCCGGAAAGACCCCGTTGGCCTGACCCAGCCTTTCCCACCGTTTACTTAATTCACCATGAACTGCATTTTTTTTCCCCATGAAATCGGTACCAGCACCAGTGGCAGAGTCACATGGCCACATCTCTGCTGGCACTCCCACCACGGAGAGGTGGGCTCCGGTCTCCCCTCCCTCCCATCTGGGTGGGCTGCATGACTGCCTGGGCCAGCAGGGGCTGGCAGGGGTGACACTGGGACAGTGCCAGGGGTGGTCCTTGACTGGCGCAGCAGCTTCAGCCTCTGCCCCTCTGAGTCTTGAGCTGCAACCTAAGAAACCCGGAGCGGGGCATCCGGAGGGCCAGGATGAGGCCAGCCTGGGCACCGCTCTGTGGAACCTTCAGGGAACCCCATCCCCAGCTGCTACCCGGCTGCGGCCGCAGGAGGATCCCCAGCAAGAACCGCCCCACTGAGCCCCGCCGACCCCGGCATCCCGAGAGGGGAATAAACTACTGTTCTTTCGAAGCCGCTGTGTTTGCGTGGTTTGTCACACGGCCTCGGACAACCATAGCCCCCCCCCCAGGGGCCTGTAGACCCCTCTGGGTGCTGCCGGGAGGTCTCCACCCCATCCCCACTGCCCACCACGCCAGACCCCTCGGGCACGTCTTTGCTCAGGGTGCGCCCTCTCCGCCCTCTGCCTGGAGTGTCCTTCTGCGTCCTTTCCCCCTTCAGAGATCCCTCTAGACCCACTCTGAAGACTGGTCTTACAACCCTCAAGGCACCTGCAGCGGCCCAAGGCTGGGACCCACCCCGGGCTCACACTCGCCTCTTTGGTCTCGGTTTCCTCACCCGGAGACTGGGGGTAATCATGGGAACTGCTGCAGGACGCTGTTGTGCAGACTAAACAAGACGACAGGGTGAAGCATACAGTAGGTGCCAAATAGATGCTGACGGTGTTAAGCTGCTCAACGCCTCCACTGGCACGTGACCTAGTGCCGGAGTGTGGCCTGTGCTCTCTGGCTGCCCCGAGACCAGGCACCCGTGCCCCGGGGCTCACCGCTCCCACACCCGAGCACAGTCTTCGTAGAGTTGCTGGTGTTCGAGAGAGGTTGGGGACACTCAGGGAACCCTCGTCTGTCCCACCTGGGAGAACCCTTGGAGATCAGGGGAGCAAGCCTCCTTATTTCTACCGAAGCCCAGAGAGGTCTAGATCCCTGCCCAAGGTCACACGGCTAGTTCTGGAGCTGGGTCCCGAGCCTCGGCTCCCCACCCAGAGCCTTGTCTGACACAGAGGTCCCTCAGTCTCGGGGACTGGTCCTCCCTGACCCCTGCAATGTCTCTCATGCCCTCCCTGTCCCCGAGAGCCGCCTGAGATGCAGGTAACCCCACAGCCTGATCTCTGGCTCCACTGTGAGACCCGCTCCCTGCGGACAGCGCGGCCCCACGGAGGCTCCTCCCTGCCACTCCCTTCCCCCTGTTCCCTCCCGCAGTCAGCCGGGGACTGTGAACTGGGCACCCACGGCCTGCAGGTGTAGACGCGTGGGAGAGTCTAGGGCCCCAGGGACTCTGGCTCCAGTCCCAGGCACCCCTCTGACCAGCTGGGGGATCTTGGGGCAGGTTCTCTCTCCCAGCCTCCCCCTCCCCCACTGCAGAAGGGGAGTAAGAATCTGTCTTCCACAGGGGAGGAGCTGCAGCGTGGAGGTCTGGGCCCCACTGGGCATCTGGACCAACGCCCCTTCCTCAAGGCCTGGCCACCCCTCCCCACCACGTCTCCACCCTTGCTTCCCATCAGTTCCTGGGGGTCCGGGGTCTAAACAGAGTTGGGGGATCCTGAGGCTCTGAGGGCGTGATGCACGGAGCCCAGAACCACGGGGTTCTGCAGAAACCCTTCCCACAAGGAGAAGGGGCCCGGGTGAGCAGGCCAGGCCTCAGACGGGGGGCTCACAGTCTTCGCCCACAGCGCCAAACCCACAGCAGCACAGTGTGGGTTTGCTGCACAGAGAGGTGTGTATGTGATGCATTCGCCTGGTGGCGGGTAGGGGGCTGAGGGCAGGGCAGGAGTGGCCCTGCAGCTGTCCCCCACCTTGGGAGAGCTCTGCAGGCCGGGCCTGTCCCCGCTGGGAGCAAGCCCAGCACCCTGATATGGGAGATCGCCACAGCAGATTAGAGCTGAGAGCTCCAACCGGGGACCACCTGGCCACAGGCCTGCCGCCCAGGCACAAAGGGGCCGTCGAAATTATAAATGACCAACCACCGACAGAGTGACCCCCCCCCCCAGTCCTTCCCGGGGTGAGATGCTCCAGCGGCCCCTTCCCCGTCTTCCAGTTCAGACACCAGCCAGCTTCGGGCACGGATGGGAGTCCAGGAGGAGCTGGTGCCTGTCCGGAGGGTTGAGCGCCAAGGACAAACAAACCCACCACAAACGAGGCTCCGCCCACTAGAGGACACGCTTGGTTTTGTGTTGCAGGATCAGGAATGTCTGCCACGGGGCCCTTCCGGCTGGTGACCCTGTGGACGCTGCCCGAGGAGTCCTCCATTATGAACCGCATGCTTCCCCATCCCAAGCTCTCTTGAGCTCATGGGTCAGGCTCAGAAATAGCTTCAGGGGAGGGGCTGGCATCCAACTCCCAGGTCTAGGCAACCATGTCATCCTTCTCGCCCCTGAGACTCAGTGTCCCCAGACCCTGAGGAGAGACCAGAGCCCAGGACCTGTTCCGGGCCAGGCACGGAGCCAGACGCTGCCAAGGGTGGGAGAGAACCTCTGTGAGCTCAGGTCCTGGCCCTCCTGTGCCCACCAGGCACTTCTCTCCCGGCCCCCCTTTCCGGCTGTAAGTTACACGGGCAGACAAGGGTGATGGGGACCGCGTGGAGGGTCAGCCTTGCAGGCAGGTGCTGCTGCAGCCCCGTCGCGCAGATGGCAGACCCGAAGCTGCGGAGGGGTGTGGGGACTGACTGGCACAGGGCTCCGCTGCCAGGAGGACGCCCGAGAGGGATTAGAACTCAGTTCAGTCTCTTTCCACACCCGCAGCTCCCAACCTCTCCAGCTCTGTGGGCCTGTAACGCATTGCACCCGCCCCCCCCCCATTGACTAGCTGATTGACGAATGACCTGCCAGGGCCCCACCTTCGGCCCCCACTGCCTGCCCAAGAGCCTCCAAAATCCCAAATAGCGATGCCCCCCACCACAGTAGGGTAGGGGGTGGGGCCGGGGCGGGGCTGCGGCTGCCGAGCCCCGCCCGCTGGAGCCGGCTGGTTAATCCGCAGCCCCCGCGGCTCCTCCGCTCGCCCGCCGGTTGCCGGGGAAACGACCTCTCCCCTTCCGGCCTTCAAAGGGGTCCCCCCTCCCTGAGTCGGCCCCACCGGGCCGCGCGACCTCCAGCTCCGGGATCGGCGGGCGGGCGGGAGCCGGAGTCCCCGGATAAAAGAGAGCGGGAAGGGTGGAGGGTAGAGACACGGAGAGACACCCCCATGTGGGGAGACAGCGAGGGGGAGAGACCGAGAGACGCCCGTAGGGGGGAAGCGATGCGGGCCGCACAGAGGGGAGGCGGAGAGAGACGCGGGGACGCGAGAACACGCCCCGCCCCCACCCCGGCCTGGGCGCGGGAGACGCAGAGGGCGAGGCTGGAGGGGGTGGGGGACACCGCGACCGGAGGGGCCCCCCAAAGGGGAAAGGCAAGGGCCAGCAAGGGGGCGAGACTTGTGAAAATAAATATTTATAAATGGAGAGTTTCTAAATTCTTTTTGCATTTTCACAGTAAATTATTCATCTGTGTATCTCTCTCTTACCTGCTCAGGGAGCCGCGGGGGGAAACTCCTTTTTGTGCTCCCCCCTCCCCATCTTCCTCTCCTCTTCCTCCCCCTCTCCCCCTCGCTCCCTCCTCCTCTCCCTCCCTAATCCTCTCCTTCCTGCCCTTTTCTTCCCTCCCACTCCCTCTTCACCCCCCTCGGGTTTCTATCCCACTAACCCCCCTCTCCCCCTCCCCCTCTCTCCCCTACTTTCCTACTATGCTTCGCCCCCCCCCCCCGCCCCCAGGTTGGAGCTGGGCACCGAGGCCGCCGCCCGGAGGTGACCCGCTGCCACTCACTCGAACTTCCTCCCCGCCTTAAGGAAGAAGAACCGTCCGAGTCAGCGGGGCTGGGATGAAAAAAACCCTCGTCGCTGGCAGTCTGGCACCCCCAACCGGGACCACGGAAATCTTCCTCCAGAGGACTGGGGGCACCGGAGTCGGGGGAAGGTGGCAGCCGCGTGAGGAGGGGACTGCCGTCTCGGGTGGGATCTCGACAGGCCCCTCAGCTTGCTGAGCCTCAGTTTCCCTCTCCGTAGGATGGGGCCGGGGCTAACTTCTTGTTCTCTACGGCCCAACCGGAGCTCACAGGCGCAGAGGAGGACAGGTCCCAGCCATAAAAGCATGATGTGCGTGCGTCCCTCAAGTCAGCGAGGATGCAGCCCCAGCCACAGCATGCTGGGTTGGAGAGGCGACCCCGCTGCCAGTCTGTGGCCTGGAGCACGGGGCCTGCCTCAGTTTCCTCATCTGCAAACGGGCCCTCCCCCGGACCAAGGAGTAGGATTCTCCGCTCGGGAACCGCCACGCATCTGTGTCTAAGTGGCATTTGTCCCTGCTCCATGTCACCAGTGCCCTACCACCCCCTCCCCCCAGCCCCCACGGAGCCTCCAGGTCGCCCAGACCAAACAGCTGCAGGACAGGAGGCCGGAAGCTCCTCTCCCGGAGCCGGCTGGCGGGGGTCAGCACCGGAGAAGCCAGGGAGGCGCGGAACCCGAGCCTCCCCTGCTTGGGAGACCAGCCTGGAAGTCACGAGCTAACTTCAGGGACCTGCACGCTTCCTGCCGCTGCGGCGCTGCAGGGGGAGGGTGGCCTCCACTCAGCTGGCCTTCCCCTGCAGACTGGGCGCAGAGGCCTGGGTGTCCTGGCCTGGGTTTGAGCCCCGCCCCTTCCCCTTCTGGGGTGCGTGTTCCGAGGTTTCTTCAGCCTTGGAGGAGCCAGGGGCCTTGTTACTATTTACTCTGAGCAACCGGAAGTGCTGCGAGCGCTGCTAGGAGCTCCCAGGTGAGCGGAGGGAGCGGAGTGGGGCCTCACAGCGCCCTCGCCCTCCCCACACCCTCTCCTCCAGGGTGCAACCACCACGGCCCCATTTTACAGACGAAGGCACTTGGCCCAGGTCAGGTGGCTGGGCAGTGGCGGGTGGGGGTTCTGGCTGGGTCTGGCTTTGGCGATGCTGAGGGGCGCCCTCACCCAGCTCCCTGTGCTTCCTGCAGCGACACCCTGTCAGGGCCACCCGCTTGATGACCCTATAGACCCTTCAGACATGCCCAGATCTGATCTGAAAACAACTTTCTGTCTCTCTATGCAAGCACAGTGAGAAATGTGCTGGGGAATGTCCCCTCTGGGTATCTGTCCCCTCTGCTCCCTGTGGTCAGGGTCACCCTTGCTGGCCTAAAACAGTGAGTCAGGCCTTTCATAAACCCTAGAGGACGTTGGGGGGTGGGGCAAAGAGGACGGTAGCTGGGCTCTCGGCCCTCACCCCTGCTTCCTTCCCTACCGATCACGTGGGGAAGCGTCATCTGGAGAAGGAATGAGGCGCAAGGTTGAGAAGCGAAGATGGGCGTGAGCAACCAGTTTGAAAGCCCCTGTCGTAAAAATCCAGGAGCTGATTGGGACAGAACGGCGGCCTCCTGAAGGCCCCCCACTTATGTGACTGGGCTCTCTCCCAGGGCCACCCCCCGGGGAAACAATAAAAATAAAACCGCGAGGCAGGTCTCCTCCCCTCTCCAAGGGGTCTCCAGCCCGTAATGCTCTACAAGGACGCCACACTCAGCCGGGCTCACCGGCCCAAGGCCACGCGGCTAGTACGAGGCTCGCCCAGGACCCTCTGGGATCTGTCCGCTTCCAAACCCCACGCCCTGCCACTGAGCAGCCTCCCCCAAAGAAATGGCAGGCACCTGCGGTGCCACTGGCCCTGGCCCTTGCCCTGCTCACAGCCCCTGGCAGGCCCCCCCCAAGGAGGTCCTTCGGCCCCTTCGGGGAGGATTCACAGATGCTCAGGGACAGGTCTGTGGCAGCCATGGCCCCGGGCAGAGCTGCCCCTGCTGTGGGCACTGCCATACCCGCCACATACCCACCCTGAAGCCCTCGGCCTCTGCCACCCCGGTGGGGGTGACAGCCGTGTTTGCCACTCCCAGAAGGATGTTGTCCCCAAAGCATCAGAGCCCTTGTGCCCACAAAAGGCCACACAGCAGCACTGCTAGGCCCCACACCCCCCTCTCCTTGCAGCTCCCCCTCTCTCTTGCGTCTGGTGTGGGACTGGGTTCTGGGACCGCCACCACCATACTGTCCTCAGTCATGCCTCCTCTAGGAGAACTAGGGCCGGGTCAGTCCTGAGCTGCTGCGGCCCCTCTTCCCTAGAGGTGGGAGGTCCTCCCGGCGGGGAGGTCGAGGAAAACAGCCTCCCCGCCTCCGCTGCAGACACAGGACACGAGGACCACCCGGGTCCAAGTTGGGGCTTGGTCCGAGCTTAGGAAAAAGTGCACTGGCTGATGTGTGTGGCAGGGAGACAGAACCATACAGCGCAGAGAAACCAGCCTGCCTCAGGCTGGGCCCCGGCCTCTCGGGCTGTGGCAGGTGAAGGCTGTGGCGTGGATGCACCTTTTGGGAAGGGGGGGTGGGGCGGGGGAGGATGCACTGGCTCCTGATTGGTTGGGACCACGCCCTGCCGGATCTGCTGGCCATGCAGAGTCGCTCCCTGGAGCTGGAGGCCCAGCTTCAACCTGAGCGTGGGAATGGGGCGAGGCTGGGGGTAAGGGGGGGGACCCAGAGAGGAGGGAGCTGGTGGTGATTTCAGACCCATTCTGGTGGCTCGCACCGCCACCCCCACCCCCCGCCACCCCGCTCCAGGTGAGAAAGGTCAAATTGTTCATTATCGTTAGTGGGAGCGGTTACAAACATTTAGAATCGTGTTAACCGCGGTCACCTCTGGGTGGGAAGTGTTGGTGATGTTTCCCTTTCTTGCTTGTAGTTCTCATTGTTCAAATGTGTTGATTTAGTTTACAAGAAGAGTGTTTTCCCCCCAGAAACAAAGAAAATTTAAAAATCAACAAGACTGGACTTTGCCAACGCCGAGGGGCCCTCTCAAGGAGGTGCGGCCGCTACGGAAACCCGAGGGGGCGTAGGAACCGCCCGGGTGTGCTGCGGCAGGAGAGGCCAAAGCCCAGGACCCGCCGAGTGCGTCAGCGAGCACCCAGGAGGCCAGGACGAGTTCCAGAAACGCACGCGGGGAAGCTCGTGGGGGCACGTGAGTGCCTTTGAGAGTGAAGGGGGGACCCCTGAGGTGTCTGGCTGGGAGCCAGGACTCAGCCCAGATCGGGACTGTGGTTCCGAAGGTGTTCGTTGGGCAGCGGTGGGCAGGCGGCTAGGGTGGGCAGAGCAGCGGTATTAGAGCTGGGACCACAGAGCCAACGTGGAAGGGGTCCCCCCTCTTCCCACTCCCCCTCCTCAGGGTCCCATTTGGAAACTTCGACGGAGAAGTCACCCGGTTCCTGGAATTCAGAGGGCTCCGTGAGCAACTGCTCTTTAAAAAAATTTTTTTTTTACCTTATTGATTTTAGAGAGAAAGAGGAAGGGGCAGAGAAGGACAGAGAAATATCGATTTGTTGTTCCACTTATTTATTCATTCCTTCGTTGACTCATTGACTGGGCCCTGACCGGGGATCGAACCCACAGCCTTGTTGTAGCAGGACGATGCTCTAACCGGCTGAGGTACCCGGCCAGGGCAGCAGCTATTCATTAAAGGTCCTTGTGGCCCTGGAGGCAGCCCCTGCTGCTGGAGGGCTGTCAGGCCGTTTGATGCGCCCACCCTTTGACCGAACGATTCCATTTTTAGGAACTATCACCGCAGAAACACGCACACGGGTGACAAGGGAAAAGGCACCAGGGATTCAGTGCACCACTGTTTATAACAGCAGAACTTTGGAAACCGCCCAGACACCCAGTTGGGGGACTGATTCTATAAACGTGAAGGGGCTGCCCCCAGGCAGAGCAAGGGGCTGTGACAAATAACCTGCCGGCTCCTTCAAGGAGGAAAAAAAAAACAACAAGAAATGCTCATTTGCATTTTAAGAGGGTCACCTCCACTACACCTTGCTCTAAACCCAGCCCTGGTGACTGGTGCCAGAAAGGAGCTGGGGGTTGGGCAGGATGGGGACTGATTTCAGCTGTACACCCCTTTCTCTCTGGCTCTGTTCACCTTGCGCGTGTGTTCCCTGGAAACAGCCGGCACTGGCCTGCACTCCACGAGCACAGTGAGTGGAAACTTCCAGAGCTTACTACCCACAGCCACTTCTCTCCTGTCTTCCCAGGACCGGCCACCCTGTGACCAGTGATGACGAGTGGCTCTTTTCTCTGCCTCCAGGCCCTGGAGATGGAGGCGCCACAAGGCAGAGACGGCCTGGATCCCTGAGGGTTCACATGGCGGACAGTTACCCTGCAGAGTTACCTGGGCTCACGCAGACTTTGCTGGATGCAAAACAAACTGTTGCTGTGTTGAAACACTTTGATGTTGGAATCATTTGTTACTGCACCACAGCCTAGCCTTGCTAACTGATGCGTTCTGGCTCAAGGGAGGCCTGGAGACCTTGGACAAGTCCCCTGACTCCTCCAGGCCTCAATTTCCCCAGGTGTACGATGAGGCAAGAGGTCTCTTCTCCTCTCACGAGGGCCTGTGCTGCTCGTGCTCCCAAACCCCAAAGGCCTGAGGAATACCCATCAGCACTCGGGGCTGCAGGGTGCTGAGCACTCCCACTGGCCGCCGGCCAGACAGCCTCAGGGGCATCATGGGATCCTCCCAGCAGGGAGACACCATGACCATCCCCGCTGCCCCATGGGGAAACAGGCTCAGAGAGGCGAGGTCACTTACCCAGGCGCACCAGCACCTGTGACTCCTGTCTGTTCTGATGACAGCTGACATCTGGTATTTTTACTTATTTCTTACAAATGCAATGTAAAAGAAAGCCCACTGTTAACAACTTGAGAGAATGTAGAAAAAAACTTTTAAATTTACCATCGTAACCGTGTTGAAGTGTGCCATTCCTCGGCAATACATATGTCACAGGGGCGACCGTCCGCACCATCCCCGTCCAGGGCTCCGAACCCGCCAAATGACAACCCCCACCCCCCACCCCCACCGAGGCAGCGGCAAACAGCCTTCTGCCGTCTCCGTGAATGTGCCCGTCCTGGGGGCCTCACACGCACACCCTCGTGTGTAGTGGCCCTTGTGCGACGGGCTCGTTTCCCGCAGCAGAGTGCCCCCAAGGCGTGCCCACACCGACGCGTGTGTCAGGATCCCCTCCCTCTTTAAGAGTGAGAGCCTGGATGCTGGTTCACTCCGTGGACAGACCGCACTTGGTTTACCCGTTTACGTGCTGCTGGACACTGGGGTGGTTTCCCCTTCAGCTGTTGTGAATAATGCCGCCACGGCGGACGTGCATGTACCCGAGACCCTGCTTCCAATTCCTCTGGGCTTATACCCGGAAGGGCAATTGCTGGGCCACCTGGTAATTCTGTTTTTAGGCCGTGAGGCACTGCCACGCTGCCGTCCACAGCATCTGCACTGTTTCCCCTCCCCACCCACAGTGCACAGGCTCCCGCTTGCTCCGCCTCCTTGCCAACACTTGCTATTTGCCGCTTTTGGGTAGTAGCCATCCTAACAGGGGGTCTTGATTGGCATTTCCCTGATGATCCTCGAGGGGAAAAAGGATCTTGAAAAGCCTCTGGTGAGTCCCTAGTGGTGCAGTCGCCTGGACTTGCTTCCGCAAGAGGAAGTGGGGACCAGGGGGCCGCCCCCACTGCTGTGGACGCTGTCACCGCATCTCAGTCCTCGACTCCCGAGCACGTGAGTGGGCTGTGCTCTGGGAGCTGCACTGCGACCTGTGTCCCAGTGACCCGGCAGGGCCCCCACTTCTCCAGAACTTCAGCCTCGGATGGTGTGACCTCGGCTTCCCCCGCTGGGCCTGGCAGGAACTGAGCCGGGTCTTTCCAGTCCCGGCTGACCCCGTGACCCAGAGTCCCCACCCAGGCCTGGGACGCAAGAGCAGGGAGGAGGCCGCGCCAGGACGGGGGTCAGCTGCCTGTCCTTGGCCTTCCACGTCCAGACAAGGGCAGCTTTGTGTGTGGGAGAAGAGCAGGGGCTTCGGAGACAGGCGGACGGACACAGCCTGGTGCCGTCTCTGCCGTTCCCCAGCTGCATGACCTTGAGTGAGTCTCTCTCCCTCCAAGCCCTCACTTCTCTCGCCTGTGAAATGGCTGAAATGGTGCCTGGCACATAGTAAACACTCACTAAAACACTTCTTATAATGACCAACATCGTCATCATCTTCACTATCATCAACATCCTGACGCATGACCGGGTTACATCTGCGTCAAACAGTCCGTGGCTCCCCACCGCCGGCAGGAGAAAGTCCACCCCTACCTCTGGACGAGTGGGCGCCACCGGGCCTGGCCCCTGCCAGCACCTCCAAGCTCCTCCTCCCGTCACTCATCACATTCCAGTCACTGGGCCGCCTCCTGTCCCTCCAACGCCCAGCACGCCTTTGTGCCTCAGGCCCTTTGCCTGTGCTCTTTCCCCAGCCTGGAACGTGTGCCCCCCACCCCCGCTCCTCCACCTCCGTCCACCCCCATCCCTTCAACAGTGGATCCCTAAAGGCCTCTGGCTCACCGCAGGCAGCGACCCTGCGCAGAGGGCCCCACGGCTCTGCGCGTGCACCCCAGCACTTCTCGCGGGCGCTCGCAGCACCGAGTTGTGAAATCTCGGAGGGCCGGCAGCCTGCCCATGGGAGCTCTGGGGGGCCGGAACTGCGCCACTCTGCGCCCCATTCCAGTGCAGGCACCCCGCTCCGCGTGGGCCCAACTGCCCCCAAATGTTAGTTACCCCGAATCATTAATTTCCAGAATCCCTCTGATTTTGGAAACTCAGATTCTTTGCAACAAAAACAACCCATTCCCTGCATCACTGAACCCACTTTAACGTTCGTGAGTGCAAGAGCCTTTGTCAGACTTTTCCACTCATTCAATGAACACGTCTGACAGCACCCTCAGCTACGTCCTCTGTGCTAATTGTTCAGCTCAGAAAAATACGCTCACTGCAGTCAGAGCGGCTGCTCGCAGCCCAGCCTCTGGCCACCCCTCCCGGGGACATGTGCGGGGCTTGGGGCTGCTCTGCGGTCTCCCCTTCCTTGCTTGGGGGTACATGCCAACCGTGAGTAGTGGAGGGTTGCGTAGGGAGGGGCATTTCCACCCCCATCAGCAAGATCAGCATGAGGCCACGGCGGCCCGTCGGGTTAGGGCCTGACTCAGCCTGTCCACACACGGCTGCGCCCCGCCCCCCTCCCAACCAGCCGGGAGTGAGGGCGCAGACCCCAGGGGAGCCCCGGGGCAGGAGGCCCAGAGAGGCTTTGCCGGCACCGATTCCTCCACCTTCTCACTTGTCCGTCTCAACAGGTACTTGCTGAGGGACTAGCGCGGCCTGTTGGGGCGAGGCCCCAGCGAGGAGCAGCTCCTGCGGCGGACGAAGGGCACTGAAGAAGAGCAAAGGCTCAAACTCAGCAATTCCTTCTGCTCGCAGACCGAGGGCTCCACCCCATTCCCAGGCCCCTCCCCCTTGGTCCTCTGGGCTTCCGGCGGAAGGGTGATGGGGCGGGGTTTTCACCATGCTCCTGGGGGGCCTTTCGGAGAGGGACCATGTGGATGTCCACTCCAATGGTTCTCGGGGAAAGCACTTTCTTGAGGTGTTGATGCAAACAGGCTACAGGGAAGGCCCGCGGGGAGCACTGTGGACGCTGCCACTGTGGCTGGGACCAGCCCAGGGAAGCGGACCCTCAGGGGAGGTCCAGAAGAAGGGTGGGACTGTCCCAAGATGTGGGTGAGCGGTGGGGGCACTTAGGACTTGGGGTCACCACCTGGTTGAGCCAGAGTGAGTGAGTCCCACCTGCAGTGAGGACTCAGCCCTGGGAGAGGGCGCTGGCCGGAGGGTGGGGGCGCCCCAGATGCCCTGAGACGTCGGAACCTTACTGAGCACCCCCATTTGCTGGATTCTCGGGGTTCATGGGCACACAAGGAGCTGGACGGGCTGTGAGGCACCGCAGGGCAAGGGAGGAGGTGGGCAGGGGCCGGGTGGAGGCGTGCGGTCAGGGGGACTCCTGGAGCTGAGGGCAGGCAGTGACGACGTCTGTGGGGAAACCCCAGGACAGAAGGCACCTGGGACTCTAGGGCTGGTGAACGTGCAAGACACAAGTGTGGGCGTGGGAGAGGTAGGAGGGGTGGGAGCAAATTCGGAGGGGGCCTGAGAGCCAGTGGGTCACATGGGCCCTTCCAGGCCTCGGTGGGACTCAGGGTCTGGGAAGTGCCCATTCCAGGAGCCATCCCTGCTGCTGGGGGTATGTGTGTGTGTGTGGGGGGGGGGGTCGTTTCCAGGTAGAGCAGTGGGCTTTGTGGAGCACCGGCTTTGCAGAGAGATGAGAGAAAGGTGGGGTCAAGGCCAAGGACTTTGATGCAAGCAGTGGGGGGTGGTCCCTGCTGCCATCTCCTGAGCAGAGAGGGAGGGGACACAGGATCCCAGAGGTTCCGCCCAAACTTGGGGCAGAGCCTCACTCTTCACGTCGAGGTCTGCCAACCTGCCCCACACAGGCGCACCCACCTCGCTCACTCACGTGTGCCGCCGGCAGTCACACAGGCCCACGCATCCTCATGGGTACACCCCCCCAGTCTCACACCTACACCTTCACTCTCACACACACTCTGATGCACAGACACACACTACACCCCCACCCCGCATCGCCCCCGTGTGGGCTGGTCTCCGTGGGCCCATGACCCCCCCGCAGGTGCTGCCCACTGGCCAGGGGTCAGGAGGGCCGTTTCAGAGACAGCAGCCCCCAGGCCCAGTCTGCCCCCAGGGGAGCTCGAGTCAGACATAAAGGACTTCCCCTTCGCCCCGAAGGCGGAGGAGACGGGAGCCATTTCCCCATCCTACGGGACAGCATTGTAAGTGACTCGCCATAGGAAACTCTGGATCCTCACGCGCACGCACGCACGCACGCACGCACGGAGAGCTTCCTGAGAGCCCTGTGTGTGCCCCTGGGTTCCTGCCCGGAAACCCCAGGCCTACCCATCAGGCAGCAGGCGGCACACATCCCCAGCAATCCATCCTCACCCATGCGGAGTTTTCGGGGTGCCTCAGCCTCTGGGGATCCTCATCTCCTCCCTCCTTACAGCTGCCCCGTGGGTAAACGGAACGACAGAGACTTGCGCTGGAAAGGGGGCGGATGTTGGCGGGGGACGGGGTGGGGGGGCGGGACAGAGAGGCCGCGAACAGTCCTGCAGAAGGGAAGCCTGACTCTCAGGGACTTGGGGACCCACAGCCTGGGACAAGGGTTCTCAGGTGCTGTCACACTGACACACGTATGTGCATGCTGCACACGTGTACACAAACACACGCCACCCCACCGACACACCAGCACAGGGACACGCGGGCATGCGCGCATGCGCACACGCGGGACCCGGGGTCTCCGGCCCGCCTGAGCCGTGTGTCTCCGCACCGCCTGAGCCGTGTGTCTCCGCACCGCCCTGCCTCTAGGCCCGAGCCTCCTCTGTGGAATGTTCCCTCTTCACCTGTCCCCCAGCTGCCGTGTCGCCTAAAATCCTGAAAGACTGGGAGAAATTCCTTTAGAACTCACACCTCGAATTTTAGGCTTACACTATATTTTGAGAATTTGGGACTGTGTCCTCAGACTCAATCTGATGCGGGCTTGGGTCATCACAGGTCGGGGCAGGTAGGATCCTGGGGGTGGGGAGGATGGGGGCCCGCCCCCACGCTGCCCTCTGTAGCCGGGAGCAAATTCCACCGAGCCAGAGAGGGCTGAGGGCTGTGGGGGCCACGGTGAGGGCTCTGGGAGTCCCAACGAGCCCCGCCCACCCCCTGCAGCCCTCCCTGCGGGACTTTTCTCCGGGAGCCTCGGTTTCCCCCGGATGGTGGGGTGACGCATCTCCTCGGGCTCGGGGAGAAGTGA